GTGACTTGCCCAGGTTTACACAGCTAGTAAGTATCTGAGGCTGGATTTGAACTCAGGTCTCCCTGACTCCAGGTCCATCACTATCACCACCATTCCATCTAGTCCACCCCTTCCGTTTTGCAGGTAGAAACTGAGTCCCATCGGGGTTAAGTGACTTGCCCAAGGTCATATATGTAATAAGAGATAGAATCAAGATTAGAACTCAGGTCAAATGACTTCAAATTTAGTATTGCAAGTTCATTGCTCTTTCCATAGTGATACACTGACTCGCTTCTTGATTTCTTCCTTATTTCCCTATTAATGGCACCATCATTTTCTTAATAATTCAGGTTAGAAATTCTTAGGTTATCTTTGAATATTCTCTGTTAGAATGGGAGGATCCCCAAGGAGATCTAGCCTTCAGTTATGATTACCAAAATCTGCAGAAGGAACTATTGCTCATGTGGCAACATAAATTGTCATTGTATCTGATCTCTAAAGTAGCTTAGTGTTGTTGCTTTTCCTTAACCAAAATTGAGATTTTTTCCCTTCTTTTAAAATAAAAGTAGAGAATTGTGAAAGCTACTGGCTTGGTTAAGATTCTGAACAATGCAAAGATGAAATCATATTGTTTGATTTTAGTATATTGTTTTCATTTGAATTGCTTTTAAAAACCTGCAGAGCCCTTCCTCAATTTGGGAAAAATCCCATGACTGCTAGGTTGTGTCTAGTAGACAGGCCACGTCTTATGTGCAAGAATCATACCTGATGGACTATCATATCAATCTGATCATTTGTTACAGATTCTGGGACACTGTTTCCTGTTTTTTGATCTAAACTTTATTTTCTATTTCTTCATGCTTAACATGATCTGTGAACCCTAAACTCAAGCCTGTATAATCAGACTCTACACCTAACTGCCCTTGTTTCATGGCACAGGACCTCTGAATGTTGACCTGCCCTACCCCAGCCTTCATTATGGTCACACTTCTAGACCCTGACCATGCCTCTTCCTGTGGTCTGTCCCTAGCTTGGACCTCTGGCTGCCAACGCCAGACTGCCTCCTCCAGCCCCCAAATGTAACCTGTTTGCCCATATACTGTTATCAGATTTGTCCTTGGGATTCACAGTAATCATAAACCTCTTTCTCTATAAACTTGCCTGCAGTCTATAATTTTGAGCTGCAAGGGAACTTAGAGATACAGGGTCTTGTACAAGGTAAGTACTTAATAAACATGTGTTTTATTAAGTAACTATTCCAATCTCTTCAGTTTAAAAATACAGCAGAGAGGGGATCTGTGTTACTCATGGGGAAAGCATTGATGGAGAATTGAGGCATATGGTGGTGATAACCAATGGTGAAGATCTACCACAAAGTCTAAGATATACTGGTTAGGCCCTCTGGAATGAAATCCAAACTCCATAGCTTGACATTCAAGATCTTCCACAAAAGTGGTAGAAAACAATAATAACAACAAAAACGACAAAACCCCCTACCTATCCAAATCCAAAGCCCTTCTCTCCACCACCTGCATTCAATTCAATGCTATACATATCTAAGTACCTCCTATGTGCAAGGCTCTAACAGAGGTGGGGAACCTGCAGCCTTGAGGACACATGTGTCCCTCTAGATCCTCAGGTGCAGCCCTTTAACTGAATCCAAACAAAAGGATTTGTTCTAGCTAGCTGCTAACTGCTAGGCATTATGCTAACTGCTCTGCCAAGGCCTTCTTTCCTTCCTCCAGATGCCTAAAATATTTTGTTCTTGAGTCATTGAATTTTAGACCTGGAAAGAACTTTGGAGGCCATGTAGTTCAATCCTGTCATTTTGTAAATAAGAAACTGAGGGCTGGAGAAGAAAGTGACTCTTCCAAGGCTACACAGCAAATTAGCAGCAGAACCAGGACCCAGTTCTCCCAATCCCAATTCCAGTGTTTTTGCTGATGCTAGCTCTTTCATTAATTTAGCACTTTGTACTGCTTTATACTGTTATCAGCCTTTCGGTATATAAATGTCTCATTTGGATGAGATTAGGTTTTTAAGTTCTTTTAGATAGTATCTTATACTTCTTTGTATTTATTCCTTTAGCACCTGGCTCAGTACTTTTGTAACATGAACCTTATAGAACTTTCATATTTATATGTGTGTGTACACATATACATGTATGTCATGTCATAATATTTGGAATAGATTACATCTAACAGTATGTAGATGGGATAAATATGGGATAATTTGCAGTAAATTGGGAGACTGGTTATAATTCATTTGATATTATTTGATTCTAACATTAAAATATAATTCAATTTATTGACTTGGATTTCACAGGTTAATATATCAAATCATAAGCTGAACTATCACTTAAATTTAATTAAAACCAAAAAAAGTAATTATGTTATAGTCACTGACTGGAATTCAGAAGCCTTGTGTTCATGTGCTGGATTTGCCACTAAATATCACTTACCAGCAGAGTGACCTTGGACAAGTAACTTAACCTGAGTTTTGATTTCCTCATCCATAAAGTGGGGATAGTAACAGTCATACCTCACAGGATTATTGTAAAGGGCAAATGAAATAATACGTACAAAATATTTTGTAACTATAAAGCACTATATAAATGTGAGTTATTATTATTCTAATTATGTCTCTTTGGAAGAATTAATGTGCCCGTGTAGCTTTAGGGTTTTTGTTGTTGTTGCTGCTGCTTAATTTCTTCTTATTACTTTGCTTGGTAATACCTTCCCCTACTCAAATCCCCAAATTTCTTCTTTGAAGAAGATTACCTTCAAATGAAATGTAATTTAAAAAAAAAGTTTTCCTAGCCTATTAAATATCAGCTTACTTGGTAACTCATGTGTATTCCACTGAGGTATTGTAATTATTTTATTTCACTAATTCTCCATTAATAATTGTTTAAATGGAACACTCAAGCTTTATCAATATTTGTTCTTATCTATTCCCAAAGCTAGTGTGGATTTCCTTCTCATTTTCCTGGGAGACCAGAATGAAACAAGAGAATTTAAGCAATTAGTTCTGATCTGTCTCCCACTATATAGCAGGAATAATCCATCACTGTCCAATGAGCCTCTGCCAAAAAGCCAACAGAGAAAAATAATTGAGCAACTACCCAAGTGAAGTTGTATTCAACTTTAGCGATCTAATTTTTAGAGCTGTCGAAGGCCTCAACTTAAAATTTCTCCGAAATTAAAATAACAAGCAGATACATTTCAATATAAGAAAGTACCAGCTTGTGAACTCTTATGATCTTCCTCCAAAGAATTTACTTTGATAAGAGTGTGCTTCTTCTTCTTCTTTGACTATCATGGGCATTTAACTGGATTATGCACTGAGAATCAACAGGTTAAATGTTTCTATGTAATTTAAATATGAATTCTATACAATATCTTTCTTCTAAATGACTATCTGACTAGGTCTTCCTCTTGGTGAATGCTTTCCAGCCTTACAATATCAAATAAATATAACCAGTGTCCCAATTTACTGCAAATTAACCCATACTTATTCCAGCCATATATTGTCAGATGTAATCTATTCCAAATAGTATTATATGATGTCTATTCATATATGTAAACATATAATGCTACAGATATAAAAGTTCCATAAAGTTCATATTACAAATGCATTTAATTACAGTTCCCATTTAATGGAGGCATGATTTTCTGTTCAAAAGAGTTTTTTTTCTGTTTAATGCAAGCTGTTAGGAAAAAAAAACCTATAAAACTACCATTAGATGCTTCTTATAGCCTAACAATAGTAAAATACATCACTGAAATAAGGAAAACTGAACTAAGCCTCAAAATCATTCTACCTTTCATAAGATGGTAATATATTATTATGTTTGTAGCCTGACAAAAAATTAAGGTCATTTACAAATAGGTGTTTACATTATGTTAGAAAAGGCACACTTAAAAGGGGGGAAAAACATTGACAGTTGCTTTTAGTAGGGTTAAGTTGAAAGCATGACAAGAATGATGATCTGAGACTGAGTGTAGAACACCAACACAATTCTCTGCAAAAGTAACTATGGGTAAATAAAAATAAGAGCATTTGACAGCTCTTGAAAGTCTGGCTATGCATTCTCTACCTTCTTTTCTGTTCTTAGAAGAACCCCACCCCCCACACCCCAACATTGTAATTCTGACCACTACTATTTGTATTACTAATGTTCGCGTCAACCAGGAAAAGTGAAGTTGTATCACATGGTAAAGATTTAGAGTACAACATATTCAGTTTTGCAACACCAGGCTGAGGTTTGCAGCCCATGAGTTTAGCTAGTCTTCATTTACTAGTCAATTACCCACAAGAGGAAAAAAAAATAGATATTGTTTCTTTGCTCCAGTCTATCCTTACTTCATCTATTATCAATACTAATTGTTGTACATTGTTCCCAACACAACCATCTCACGGACCCAAATAAATCTAGTGATCTTAAACATACAATGTGTTGTGTCTACACAGGCAAAGTGACAATGTGGACCTGGACACCTATTCTGAAATTTTGATCAATATAGATGCTCTAATCCTGGAGCAAGGGTCAGCCAATCTCTCCATTTTCCTCAAAAGGGATTGGGAGTGGAGTGTACTGAATTATACGGGTCATTGCTTCACCTCTCCACTTGACTTTTACCCGTGTAGACTGTGCCACTTCATTAAATTGCTTCAGGAAGCCCTGAGGTTTTTGTCTTTGCCAGAGGCTGCTACCATTTAAAGCAATGGCTCTCTCTAACAGAGAATGCTTACTCTGAAACTCAGACAAAGGAGGGTGTAGCAGGAGAAAGGCAGTCAGATGCACCCCCTACTTGGATGCTTCTCATGCTTGCTAGCCTGGGATGAAGACTGGGTTTGGGGGGAGGGAGGATTTCCAAAACTTTAGGAAATAATGTTTAGCCTAACAGGGAAGGATGCAGGGAATTAGAAGCAAAGATTAAAAGAAAAGCTGTCTTCTCAAAGGCGGTTGGTGGTTTGGGAAGGGAGCTAGCGGTAAGCATCCGCTTCTTTCTTCTCACCTGCAATTAAGAGTGCGGAGCCTCAGCTGGCGGAGTGGCTGCTCTCTCTCTCTCTCGCTCTCTTGCTCTCTTGCCTTCTCTTCTCTTAGCTCTCACACTAGGAGCTCAGGGACAGCGGTGAGTTCCACAAACTCCTAGGACATCGGGCTCCTTCCAAGGGGGTGAGAAGGAAGAAGAGCTAGGCGGGAGCTTTCAGCAAGGAACCCGGAGGCAGACTAAGTGCTGGTCCGCCCTCCACATCAGCCTCGCAGGGGCTGGGGCTGAGGGCGCCGGCGATCCCATGGTGGGCAGATGAGTCAAATGCTCAAGGAGGGAGGGGTGTGTGGGTGGGGGGGCATCTATTCCCGATCTAAGGAGGAGGAGAACGCTGCGGTGGCGGTGGTGGCGGCGGTGGTGACTCCCAATCTGGCTGTGTTTCTCGACAATTCACCTGGTTCGGCTTTTGCCCACTTTGAACTAAGGTGAAGGCAGTCAGTCAGTGCCATCGGACCAGGCAGAACCTCTCATCTCCTGCCCTTGGCGTCCGGGCTGGGCAAGAGGAGAGAAGCTAGCTCGAAATTCCCAGTCACAGCTGCTCCTGATGTTGCTGCTGTGGCCGCACATCTGTCCAGGGAAGAAGACAAAATGGGAAAGGGGAAGGAAAGGAAGGGAAAAGTTTTCAGTTCATCTCTCGGCTGCTCCTGAACATCAAATCAAATTAATTCACCCCAGCTCCAGAGGGAAGGAGGGATGCAGGGGCGGGGTTTTCGGAAAGCATCTCATTGTGAGCCCCTTGCAATCTGGACAAGAAACAGAGCCAAGCTTTTCCACGCTCTCCCGCCTCCTCCCTTCCTAGGGAAAACTCCCTCATACTTCCCTCTCTCTCCCTCCTTTCCCCCTCTAGCTTTAATTCTCTCTTTCTTTCCCTCTTAGTCTCCCTCTCAGAAAGGGATGGGCAGACAGAATCTTGTTTCCTCCCTCCCCACCCCACCCCCAATCAGGCACCCATTATCCTGGACCTTTCCTCTTCCTCTAGAAAACACACACACACAACACACACACACACACACACACCCTTTCTCCCCGCGGCAAAGTTTCACTTCTAAAACCAAAAGCTAGCATGCAGTCTGTCTCCATAGAAACTAAAACCGTTTCCATAGAATAAAATCTCGGTTATTTTTTTAACCGATTCTTTCTCCATCCTGAAAGGAAGAAAGCAGGAGACTGTGCACTCAAACACACCCACACGCGGGCCCCCCATGGCTTGGGGGTCTGAGGGCGCTGGAGCTCTGTGGCCCGCAAGTTTCCGTAAAAGAAGTTGAGAAGCACCCCCGCAGAAGCTTTCTGGGCAAGTACTCTATCCCGGCCGGTGCCTGCCCATCTTTTGGTCCACGCCTCTTCGTTAGCTAGCACGTCAGCTCTCAGGGGTTGGCGGGTTGGGTTGGGTTTCCCCCTGGTGGGCTGCTGGAGCGCTACGCCAGAGCTCAGTCCAGGCTTGCTGGCCAGAGCTAGCGCCCCTTCCACTCACTTCTCTCTCCCTCCTGATCAGACCTGGAACGCTGTCCCCTTTTCCTGGCTGCCTTTCATGCCGACCGCTGGACAACTTTGTCCTGCCCCAAATGAGAGCCAAGAGACAGAGAAAGCCTGCCCGGGCGGGAGCTGGGAGGCCGGAGATAGTGGTTTGATGACAGTTCTAATAAGATTGAAACTCTTCATCACAGTGAAGCAGAATAACAGATAAGACAATCTCAGCTTCTCCATGTCAACACCCAGAAAGCATTGACAGGGGGGCTGGAGGCGGGGGACCAGGAGATGAGGTGTGGGAAGTAGCTGTTCTGAGAGCCTTTTAAAATCCTGAGAATATACCCTCATTACTCCATCTGCAGAGAATTTAATACATTAAATTAATACATGACCATAATATAGTAAAAAAAAAAACAACCCACAGATGTATTGATCGTATGCATATCAACAGCTAACCCAGTGGGTAGAGTTTAAAATAAAACTTAGAAATACAAGTTTAATAAACAGTCATATCCCTTTGAGCCACTATCTAACATTGTTTCTGAGAGTGTATCTGTGTTACTCTTGTGGGGGACCCGGGTAATAGAAGTAATGTGTCCTGATGCGCTGTATTTGAAATTATTGGATGGAAGAGGCATTACACTCCTACTTTTCATTTCTAGAGGGCAAACCAAGAAATAATGGGTAGAAGTTGCAAAGAGACAAATTCTGATGTAAGGAAAATCTTCCTAATACTTAAAGCTATGCAAAAGTGACCTGGGATTTCTGCTGAGATAATGGGTTTCCCCTTCACTGCAGTTCTGCAAGGAAAAGACATTGATTTCTTGTGGAACAGAGGCGAGGATCAGTGAAGATCATTTTTCTAGTATGGATTGTACTAGATGGAAGCTAAGATATCTTCCAACTCAGAAATTCTGAGTTTATGATTCTGTGACTTAAATTTGGTGTGCAGATGTACTTTCAGGAAAGCTTTATTTTTGGTAATGGAAAGGGGAAGACCCCATACAAATATCTGGACATGAAAAGATTCTTTCTAGAGCAGTGGTTTTCAAAAAATGGCCTGGGAAGTCTTGCAGGTCCTGAGGCCTTTTCAGAAAGCCCTGTAGATCAAGACTTGTTTCATAATGCTACTAAAATATTGCAATTTCTAATATGGTAAATATTGATAGCTATAACTCATAAAAACAAAAATTCAATAATTTTTAAGATTGTTAACTATTTCCAAGACCAGAAAGTTTGAGAACTGCTACTCCAGGAGATAAGACATAATTGAAGCCAGAAGAATGAATCTGTTCATCAACTCTCCAACCACAACTCAATCTGTTTGTTCTTCTTTCTCTTTGTTTACTGGCCTTTTTTTCCTTTAATATCTCTGAAGGGAGAAATTCCACAATCAAAATAATTAAAAAAAATCAAACCAAATAGCCACATTTAGCACCCTGCTAGCTGACAAGCCAGCATACAGCATTCCTGCCCTTTTCTCTCTGAGCTTACTATCTCTTCTCTGGAAGGTTCCTCCACTTCTAAAGAGAATGGTGAGGGCCTCCCTTCATTGAAACAGCATGCTTCCTAATGCAGTTACCTGACCTGTCTCAGACCTCACCACAGAAGACTACCTAGCTCTCCTGCACATACCAAAGACATAACTAGAAACTATACCTCTTCCTGAAGGTGATGAGACCAAGAAAATTTCCCCTCTAAAATTAGAATCTTTGTCTTCCTATGGGATAAAAGGAATTGCTAATTGGAACATGAAACAGAGAATAATAACACCACATAGCATGTTACAATTAAGATCTATATGTTATGTCTACAACTACAAATGAGCATTTGATCCACACAACTCAAATGTTTTTGACAAATACAGTAGTATTTATATTATATTTCATTGTCTTCATTTCATCTTGTGTAAGTAAGCAAACTACTATGGCCTCAAGCTGGAGTGAAGCATCTAATTTCTTACTTTTTACATCAGCAAATTTCACTGATTTAGAAAAAAAAGCATTAAGATAGCAGAGGAAGACCACAATGGAGGCATATTTCCTTTTAAAAAGAGAAGTTCCTTTCCTGAAAGTTGAGTAAAATATTCGCCAAGTAGAATGTTAACTGTTCCCATAGAAAAATTCTTAATCTTAGTTCCTTCTCTTTCAATTTGGCCTGTATATATCATGTTTGTACATAGTTATCTGCATGTTATCACCCATATTGCACTATGTCCCTTGAGAGCACAGACTATCTGTTACCTTCCTTTGTATTCCCAGCCCTTAGCACAGTTCCTGGCACATCAAAGGCACTTGAAAAATTCTAGTTGACTGACTAGAGAGACTATAATTTCTTCCCTGTCACTGTCTATTTTACCTAAGACAACCTTGGGTAAATCGCTTTTTTGCAAATGCCCTATGTTTCCCCAACTGAAAAAATCTTGGTGAGCATAATAATTTAGTGAAGGAATGTTACATTTAGCCCCATATCTTTTTTTAAAGTAATAGATAGGAATTATACAAATAGTGCCTCTCACTAGCAAGCCTCTTAACACTTCAAAATTAGTCTTTTGGAGGGGGGGTAATATTCTCCTGTGTTACATAAATAGCATTATGGGCCCATTTTATAAAGATAAAAGTGAGCCATACAGAAATTAACTGGCAGAATGTGGTTGACCACTCTTTTTGTGTTGGCAAAAAATTGGAAATTGAGGGGATGCCCTTCAATTGAGGAATGGCTGAGAAAGTTGTGGTATATGATTGAGATGGAATATTATTGTGCTATAAGAAATAACAAGCAAGTTGACTTCAGAAAAACATGGAGAGATTTACATGAACTGATACAAAGTGAAGTAGCAGAACAGGAGAACATTGTACATGGTAACAACAATATTGCACAGTGAAGAATTGTGAATGATTTAGGTATTCTCAGCAATATAATGATCTAAGATAATCCCAAAGGACTCATAATGAAAAATGCTATCTGCCTCCAGAGGAAGAACTGATGTCTGAATAATGACAGAAATATGCTATTTTTCTCTTTCTTTCTTCCATCCTTCCTTTCTTTTATTTGGTTTTGTTTAAGTCTTCCTGCACAAAATGACTAATATGCAAAAGTTTTATGTAATTGCACATGTATAATCTATTCAGATTACTTACCATCTCGGGGAGGGGGCAGGGAAGGGTGGGAGGAATAAAATTTGGAAGTCAAAACTTAAAAAAAAACAATGAATGTTTAAAATTGTTTTTACATGTAACTGGAGAAAAAGAAAATATTATTTAAAATTTTTTAATGATGTGGTAGACTGAACAAAGGACAATCTTGAAAAAGTCTTCCAAGTTCCAGGCTCCTTTTCTAGTAATCAGATTTACATGCTAGTTTCAAGACCACTAACATTTTCAGTAAAGGTTTTTGCTCTGGAATCAAGAATGAACTTAATGAGGAAATGTTGAAGAGTCAAGATCAATATTCTCACTCCTGGAACTCTGTAAATGCATGCCTAATAGATGCCAATGCATTTTAATGTGTTAATTATGAAAACATACATTCAGGAATATATGAGAATCAGGGGCTTTAAACAGATCTTTCTGTAGCTGGGCTAAAAGAAGATCTAATGGAAAGTGTGATGTGCGATTATATGCTGCTCCATAGTCTTGAATAGGGCTAAGAGCCCTAGCACTGCAAAGGGGTCCACCAAGAGAAAGTGTTCTCTAATGAAAACAAATGAATGCAAGTGTTAGATTCCTTTCTAGTGCACTCTTTGGCAGTGTGAAAATGATTGATATTCTTAAAGCCCCTGAGGAAATTCTGCCTAGAGCCCAGTGCTGTTTAAAAACAGAGGAGAGGTGGGGAGAGGAGGAAGGGAGATTTATTCAAGGAAAATTGTCTTGATCTTCTCAAAATGTAGGGTAAGGATAAACAGAATACATGAGAAGGAAAATGCAGTACCTAAGTAAATATGATATTAAAAATGCAAAGTTAAAGGGTAAGAAAAAATTTCTTGTTCCATTTTGAGTTTGAAAAATATTTCTAATCAGATGCTTTGAAATTTTCCTTTCTTATTAAGTGCATTAATTAAGAGTTCAGTAGAATAAACAGAGAGAGATTACTGATTTATTATGCATGTAATGGAATATGAAAATAATAGTTCTCTTTTCTATACTCATTGAGGTTAACAAGGCACTTTTCTCACCACAAAGGCTTTGAAAGGCCTACATAGTCTCATTCCAAGCTATATTTCCAGTCTCGTTAAACATTACCCCCCTTTCCCACATTCCACAGCCTAGTCAAAATTGCCTTCTCTCTGTTCCTTGAATGGCATTACATCTCCTGTCACCTTGTCTTTGCACAGGACCTCCCCACATGCCTGAGATGCCCTCCCTCCTCACCACTGCCTCAGAGAATCCCTCTCTTCCTTCCAGACTCAGCTCAGGCAAAATCTTCTATAGGACACCTGCTTTTCCTGATCTTAACCCCCAATAAGTGAGTGGCCTCCTTCCTTAACCATCTTCTATGTAAGTACTTTGTATTGAAGTTTATATTTTAAATGCATGTATATGTATACCTGTACATATGTGTGAATGTACTGTGTATATGCACATATATAATACATGTGTATATGTTTACATATTTGTATGTATACACATACATATCTCCCTGAGAGAATATAATTTCCTTGAAAGGACTCTCATTTATTCATTTATTTGTATCTTTATTCATTCATTCATCTGTTTATTATATCTTTATTTATTTATTATATTACCAGTGCCTGTAGGTGCTTAATGTTTGTTAATTGGTTAAGGTGGGTAAAGATCTATTAATGCTGCTTTAGAAAAAGGAGAAACTGAATCTCACGGAGGATAAGTGACTTAATTAAAGTCACAAACTA